GGGCGCGGTGGTCGTGAAGAACTCCCGCTAGTTGGGCCCACCAGGCCCGTGTCTCGTGCTCAGGTTTCTTGCTGTGTGGGGCGCGTGCAACGAGAATGTCCATATCGAACGACTCCACGCGAACAGCGACTAGGAGGTAGCGAGGGGCAGCAGCGAGAACACAACAATGCTTGGGGGCAATGCGGACCCCAAGCAATATTTCAAAGGCAGTGTGTAACCAAAGAGAACAACCACCTGTGTGCTTGCTGACGGCCTCGGCATGTATGATGCGGCACGGGCGTGCGCTAGAAACTCCGGAGCGGGGGAAGCGTGTCTCAACAGTACCCACAATACATAGTGGCTGCTGCTTAAAAGCCGTGCTGAGTTGTTTCATACGTCCTGAGAGGTAGAGGCCAGACGGACGAGCATGAGAGCGATGCTTGCAATTTCTTAGGCTGAGAGACAACGCGTTGGCTGCTGCTACCCACAACTGTCGAGAATAAGCCGCGGTGTAGGATGGCGCGCCCGCGCTCTCTCGAACCTCGACTTCAGCGCGATCCCGAGCCGAGGAACGCAGAAGACGAAGCAAGGCGGAAGCCTTGTCCGTGGCAGACTCTACAAAAGCTGGCATGCACTCTTCACCCGTAGGTGGATACTGCTGCTGGATCCTGAGCGGCTCGAAGCGAAGCCACAACCACTGCAGCGCCTCAAGGTCGCTGAGGCAATCGCGCCATCGACGATCTGGGCGGGGTAGACTGCCCGTCCAAAGAGAAACCAGTGTGACAATCGTATCGACCATTTCGTTCCAAGCATGGCTGGAATTGCCCGGCACGTGCTCCCAACAAAGATTGCGAACGAAATACGAGGTCACTTTAGCTATACTGTCTAACTCCACACGCATGTAAGACAGCGTCCTTCCCAAGGCCCCTCCACGAGCAAGCCGAAAGGCCTCCTTGTTGTCGCAGTGGACAGTAAGAGAACACTCGTGAGTTAGGCTGGCGTAGTCGGACTGCAGGAACCACGCGAGGGCCCACTGGGCACCTTGAAGTTCAGCAGCAAGAGACCCCAGCACGGTAGACACCTCAGCGCCCACGTAGTCGCCCTCGAAGCCCAAGAAGGCCATGTTCCCAAAGGAGTCCTCCAAGAAGACCGCGAAGGCCCATGAAGGCCCACCCTTAGGGGCCCCCCGAGCCGTCCGTATAGATGTGGCCAGTAGTGACGTCCCCTAGACATGAAACATCCAGAAGGTGTGGGAGGGCATTGACGGTGGCGGAGTGCCAATATTTGGCGAGGGCCCAATAAGCCTTCTTGAGAGGACGTTCCCAGCGAGTAAACAGACATTGAGAACCCCAGGTAGTGTCTGGCATTGGACTGCACTGACAACCTCGAACCCAAGGGGCCGTGGTAGAAGAGCCGGGTGGCGTAACGCTACTCAACTCAGACTGCAAAGTGTTGCCCGAACATCCTGAATGATCAACGGTTGGATGGGAGGTGTTGCGAGGTCCCGACGGACCTTCAGACTGACCTCCACGCGCGCAAGATGCTCGGGTCAGCGAAAACTCGCTGGCGTAGCTGCAGCCTCGAAGGAGGTCTCCAACACGTCGCCCTCTGCCTCGTGGGCGTCCTGCATCCTGGGGGTGTTCATATGCTCCTCGGCGTCGAACGCCAGGCGTTGACTCTTGTGGGGCGGCTCGCCGCCCGTGTCCTCCTCGATCTGCCCGTCCTGAGGCCCGCTGGGCTTCGATGGTAGGCGTAGCTTCTGCTGACCAGGTTGGCGGGCAGCTTTCTCGAGCTGGTTGCGAGCCTGCGACACCTTGCCAGTGATGGGGCGGCTCACTCCGCCTTTGCCGATGTGTGAAACTGGACCAATTGTAGCAGCCGATGGTGTCGCAGGCCGTGCTGGACTCAAAGGTGGGGCCACGGAAGAGGAAGGCGACGACTGCTGCTGGATGACGAGCTGGCTCAGCGACTGCTGCAGCGAGACCATGGTGTGCTGCAGGGCAGAGAGGGGCGACGTCAGCGCGACCTGGCCCGCCTGCAGCTCCGCGATGACCTGCGGCACTGCTGGGCCCGAAGGCGGTACCGTAGGCGGCGACACCGCCTGCGTGGCCGACATGTTCGAGGAATCCTCGAACGACACCGTCTTGATCTCCTCCTTGGCGAGCTCCTCGAAGGTCGTCAGAAGCTCCTGCGCCTGGGTGACCTCCGTGGCTAGGGCTTCCCTCGCCCTTTGTGCGATGGTGAGAGCAATCTCCGCAGCTCTCTCCGCCTCTTGAGCTTCCTCGAACCTGCGGGTCACGCGGCTGAGGAAGTTGGTCTGGTTGGCAACTCTCTCCTTCGGCAAGAACGCGTACAGGTGCATGAACTGAAACATTGCGAGCTCTTGGCGCTTGGCTTCGAGCATCGGCGACGGCACCGTCGTGATAGCTTCTTGGGCCTGAATTTGTTGCTCCAGCGCCTGCATGGCTGACTTCATGTGGGCACGATGAGCTTCTCTGTCCACTGGCAGCGCTGGCGGCTCTACCCACGCAGGGTGGGCTCTGGCCTCCGCTAGGTTGGCCACTCTCTTCTTCATCTGAGTGTTGAGCTTCTTCTCCTCGCTCGAGCCCGTAACGGCGGCGGGAGTCGACTCTCCCTGGCTGAAGCGAGAGGGGGCGCGAGAAGTAGAGCGTCCTCTGCGTCTCGATCCTTGACCCTTGGCGTAGCACTTGGTGCACCAGGCCGTAGGCGCAGGATGCGAGGAACCACAAAACGAGCAGAACCACTGCCCCTTGCGTGTGTGCCATGGCGCAGCCGACATCCGTTGGCTGCTGTGATGAGAGATCAGCGTCTGCCTGGCTGCCGCAAGGCGCAAGACTGTGCGAGCCTGGCTGCGGCGCTCACGAGCACGCCGATGCCAAGCTGGTTCGCGGAGATGACGCCGAGCCGTGGCGCTGGCCACGAGATGGCGGCTGCACGGCCTGCCAGGTGTGGGCACCCGATTGCCCGACTGGCTGGCACGTATGGCGGCCGACCCGCGAGGCTCGTCCCTTACCTGGTAAAGGGACTCCCAAAGCCTCGAGCCGGGGCGGCGGCTGGAGGAGGGAGGAGGAAGGAGGGAGAAGAGAGAAGGGAGGAGGAGGAGGAGGAGGAGGAGGAGGAGGAGGAGGAGGAGGAGGAGGAGGAGGAGGAGGAGGAGGGTATTCTGGAGCGTCTGGCGGCCCAAGTCTGTGGAGCCCGCGCGGGAAGCAGGAACACCTGGAAATCTGGGAACGCGTCATGGCCTACACGACCACCCTTCGGGTGATAAGGAGGTTGGGGGAGGGAGAAGGACCAACTACTGGCAACTGCGACGGGTGTGATGATGACGATGCTGGTGGCGCGCCCTCGGGTTGGCGACGACGCGTGATGACGACGTTGCGCCGCGATGTGGCGTCACTATCGACCCCGCTATCGACCTCAGTCGATCGATCTCACTATCGACCTCGCGGCCAGTTTTAGTATCAATGGATCCAGCGATCAATCCCGTTAGCGATCTCACACTGAGTGGCGCTGAGTGGGACCGGGACACCACGGCGGGACACCACGGCGGGACACCATCGGGACAACGCGGGACACCACGGCGGGACACCCCCATCCACCGCGCGCCCACCCGAGGGCCAGATTTTTGCATCCGAATCGCCCTAGCGACGACGGGATCATTCCTCTCGCGCGCCCACGCAACTTCGCCTCGCCCGCACGTGCGACACGAACACGAAACCGAAATTGATTTTTCAGGTGGGGGGGCTCTCCGTTTCACTGCGATCTCACCCCCAGCCTCCGCTCGTACTTCTCGCTCCTCGGAAGAAACTTGGTGTCCCCGACGCGGGAGTTGGCCGTGGGAGGGCCGGAGTGGCAAGGGCAGCACGCATCAAGGACAAGCGCGTCTTAGGAGCCGCATGGATATTCGAATGGATACCTGCAGCTGGCAGCTGGCCCCGGATTCCGAAAATTGGAACAACAACCACCGCCGCGACTTGGTCAGGACGCGAGCAGGTGGGGGTCCTCCCTTCCCCCTCCCCGCAATCTGGCGCTGCACGCCGCCCTGCCCTCTCCCCTGTCGGCGGCCCCGACGAGATTGGGCGGGAGGTGGCCCAAACGCGCCAGGGGTCTTCGAGGACAGCGGATCGAGGCTCTCGGCGGCGGCGGCGGCCGCGACGACGGCGGCGATGGCGGCGGCGGCGGCGATCGACGACAACGACGGCGGCGACGACGATCGACCCCGTGGGCAGCGGGGCAAACCAGAGGAATAGCGGCCCATCGGTCGAAGACTGCGGCGGCGACGACCTCGAGATTCGACACTGCGGACAACTCCACATCGCGAAACATCGCGGCCAGAGCCCCAGACCCCACCTCTCGGCACATCTTTTCGAGCCCGATCTGGACAAGCGCGTTCCACGACTCGCAAATCAACTAATTACTCGCAGATGGCCCGGATCCGCCGCGGGGGATCTACGATATACTACACAGAGGAAGGCCTATTTTTTTCAGACGCTTGCGAGCAGGCACTCTGCGAGTGGTGGAACGCGCTCGGCGACGATCGGTCGGTGGTGGTCCCAGATGAAGGGGAACTGGGACACACAAATAAATACACACAAATAAAAATACCCCCCACTTCCCATATTTTCCCATATTTTCTTGGAATCGCCGATTAATTGTGTCTGTGTGTTTTTTCCCCTCCTGACCAGAGCCCGATGCCTGGCGGGAGTGCCTGGTGCGAAACCTGCACTGCCCAGACCTCGGGGCGCAGGCCGCAGAGGCGCGGCGCCGCCCGCGGGAGGCGGCGGCGGACGGCGGGAGATGCGGCGACGACGACGGCGGCGGCGACGGTGACGACGACGACGACGCCGGCGGCGGCGGCGGCCCAGGGGCGAGGAGGAGGAGGAGGAGGAGGGAGGAGGAGGAGGGAGGAGGAGGAGGAGGAGGAGGAGGAGGAGGAGGAGGGAGGAGGGGAGGGGGGGAGGAGGGGAGGCGCGACGACAGCGGCGGCGGCGGCGGCGGACCTGGCGGCCAGCTCGGCGGCGAGGGGGGGCCCCGCGGGCGGCTCCCCCCGCGGCGCCGAGGACGCCTCCGAGGCGGCGCGGGCGGGGCCCGCCCGCAGGGGCGACGCCTCCCCGGGCGGACACGCTGCGGGCACCGTCGGCGCCGCTGCGGCCGCCATCGTCGCCGGCGCGGTCGCCGCCGCCGGCGCGGTCGCCGCCGCCGACGCCGGCGCTGTCGCCGACGCCGCGGTCGCCGCCGCCGTCACCGTCGCCGTCGCCGCCGCTGTCGTCGATCGATGGGGCCAGCGTCCTGTGAAGCTCTTCGCAGCAAGCCAGGTCCGTGGGGCGGTCAATGGAGGCCGGCAAAGTACTGCCAAGGTTACTTGAAGTTTCTGTATCGGAGCTGTTAAACATGTCTGGCCCTTTCTTGCCACCTGGGGTGCCCCAAGGACCTCCAGAGACCTTCCGCGAACCCCCAGATGGAGGCCACCCAACACGCAGACCTCGAACGTTTTGAACAACTGAAGACAGACTTGTCATGTTCGTCATTCTCGGGATCTTGGGGCCGCCTCTGGGCCTCAAGACACCCGTCGTCGCCGTCGCCGTCGCCGTGGCTGTCGAAGATTGCGGCCCGAGGTCTTTTCGGTTAGAAAGTTGTACTTAGCATTTCGCGGCGGGGCCCCTGCGGCACGCCGTGCAATGAGAGCTGATAGCGTGTCGCTGCGCTTCGCGGGGCGGGAGGCTGGGAAAAACTCAGGATGGTGACGCTTGGAAATGGAAACGTGGTCAGCGTGCCGCGCCGAAGCGTGGTGGGCCACGACCGGCGGCGCGATATGCAAAGCAACACTTCCTGACAGCACGTATGTGTTTCTGGCCATTTTCGGGCCTCCGGGGACCTTATGAGACCTCCCAGAGCGCATGGGTTCTGAGGATCGCGCCGCATGGGAGCTGGAGGGGCGCGGGGGGGCATTCACGGGGCAGGCAAATGTTGTGCATTGCGATGCTCACCGCGGAGAGCGTTTGCATCGAGGGCGGCGCGACTGGCGGCGGCTCTTCTGCGCCAGCTTGACCGTCTGTCAGCTGGGGCAGCTGAAGGCTCTTCAAGCTCCTGGGCGGGCCTTGCTGCTTCAGCCTAGCCAACCTTGGCACTGACTCAGTAGGCCTGTCCTTAGCTGTTCCCGCGTAAGCTGTTGCAGCCCAGTCAAGCTGTCGGCTGTCTCGTCGGAGCTGCTGCAGCATAGTCATACTGGTCCCAGTTCGGCACGCAGAGATCGTCGGCCTCCGGGCCCCACTTGTCTTCCCCGCTCATCTCGCAGACCATCGGCTGCGGCCGTGTGCTACACCTCCACGGGGGGCGGGCGGGAGTAGCATTTCCCCTTCTGCGCCGCCTGCGCGTCCACGAAGATCCCGAACATGTGCCCCCTGAGGCGCCGGCCGTTGCACCGCCCCTGGGTGATGCCGATCCAGTACTTCGGCACTTCGGCCCCTTCCAGTGCTTGTCCACCTCGACATCGATGATGATGTGGACGTAGTACTGGTGCTGCTTCTGGACGATGCTGAACGCGATGTCGCCGACGTTCAGCTCAGACTCCTCCTCACCGATGGTGTGGCACCCGTCCTCTGCTGTCACAGCTTGGATTGGGTGAAAAGCGCAGGCGTCGTGCGCCGGGGGCCACGCGCCGTTCCCCGAGCTCGAGCGCCAGACGGAGCGCTTCGCCTCCAGGGCCCCCCGAATCATCCAGTTCCTCATGCCCCGAAGCCTGAGCGCCTTCTCCCGCCGATCGGGGTCGCTGTTGGGCACGAGCGCCCAATCGGAGTGCAGCGGCGGGGTTACCTAGCGCGGGCCCTCCAACGCAAAGGGCGGTAGCCGATCTGGCTTCGCCTGCATGACCTCGGCTGCCTCCTCTGCGGGCAACTTGGCGACGCGCTCGTGGATCGTCGAGGCCTGGCGCCGCTATTCGGCTGTTGCAGCTGCTTTGGCGGCTGCGGCCGCTCTGGTTCGGTCCACCCCCGCCTTGCTCCGCTGTTCCCAACGATCTGCAGTCGCTTCGCGGGGCAACCTGGCGGTCGCCGCCCGCTGAGCTGAGCCGCGGGCCCGCTCTGCCCGTCGATGTCGCTGGCGATCTCGCTTTGCCTCGGTGGCGTCGCGTTCACTCTCTGTTCCAACTTGCAACTTCGGCGGCGGCGCCGCGGCCGCGGGCAATCTCTTCGGCGGAGGCGGAGGTGGGAGCTGCTCAGGCGGAGCTGTTGCAGCTGGCGGCGCAGGCGAGCCCCCCTGGACGTTGTCGACAATGCCGCCGCCGCGGAACATCTTGCTCGACGCGGCCCTCTGTTCGGCATTCTTTTCGGAGGAGGTGCTCCCGCCATCCGCGTCGGAGTGGTGCTGCGAGCTGATTTGGCCGCCAACGGCAGAAGCCGCGAATGCGTCTTGCTCTTCGTCGCCGGCGCGGCCCCCGCAGCAAGGGGATCGCGCTGCCCCGGCGGAGCGCCATCGCGTCGCGGCCCTCGCAGTGTTATCGGCGCCGACGACGATGGTCCAGGAGTGCGAGGAGCTGCCCAGACCGTTGCAGCCGCTGGCCTTGCCGGAGAAGGCGAACACGATCCAGGAGTAGGATGCTGGCGTTGCCGGAGCAGGGGCCGATGGGTGATCCGGGAGTAGAATCGGGGATGGACAGACCCCCCTTTAATAAAACGTGGTTTAGTGAAAACGACCTGAGGCCCAAACCTGGCGGGCGCAAGCCTGGAAAATGACGGCCACGGCGCCCTCTCGAGAACCGAAAACGGACAATTCACTAATCGACGTGTCACTGTTGGGGGCCCTGTCCACCCCCGATAGAAGCCGCTGCAGCCGCGGGCCTCCGAGCTCCGGGCCCCCGGGGAGGACCGGCATGCCCCTCTAGAAGGAGCTGCCTGTTCCAGAGGGTCTCCTGGTGGCTGAGCTCCCGCCTGGCGTCGTGACCCAGGCTTCCGTGATCTGTTCGGGCGCCGTCCTCGATCCGTGGCCTGCCCCCTAATCGCGCGGCCGCGATTGTCGCCCAAGGCCGCCTGCTTGATCTCGATCCACCTCGAACGGCGCTGGCACTCTTCAGTTGTTACAACACATCGTGCGACGTCAAGGTCGCCCTGGCGCTGCTCCCATTGCCAGCGCAAGCCCTTGCGGAAATTTTTGAGGCACTCCCAGGAGCCGACCTGGGGGCTAGCCAAATCTGGGGGAGCTGTGGTAGAATGCGTTCGGAGCCCTTCTCATCCCCCTCCCCCCCCTCCTCCTCCTCCTCCTCCCTCTCCTCGTTCCCCCCCCCCCCCCCTTTAGAACTCGATTTGAATTCGAACGGCCCATGTTAAAACTCGATTGGAGTTTCGACAGCTCATGTTGGAACTCGATTGCGCTCTAACAGCCCATGCAAGCACTCGACTTAAATCCGAACATCCCGTGCTTTGAATACTAACAGCCCACGTTGGAACCCGAACCTGGGCGAGGGGGGGCGGGGGGGCGGAGAGCGCCGCGTCTGCCCCGGATGTGGCTGGTCTGACCAGTGCCTCGTCGCGTGGCGCACGGGCGCGCTCGCCTGGGGGGGGGGGCTGCGCCGCGCGCCTCCTCGTCGCGCCCCCTCCTCCCTCCCCATCCCGCCCTCTCTTGCGCCGCGGCGCGCCTCCCATCGCCCCCCCCTCTTCCTGCCCCCCCCCGCGTGGCCGGGGTGGTTTCGCGACAAGCAGCTTCGCGACATGGAAGAGAAAAATTCACGACAAGCAAACCCACGTTCGCCACCCACTTTCGCCGCCCACTTTTGCCGCCCACTTTCGCCGCCCACTTTCAACACCCACTCTCGCCACCCACTTTCGCCGCCCACTTTCGCCGCCCACTTTCGCCGCCCACTTTCGCCGCCCACTTTCGCCGCCCACTTTCGCCGCCCACTTTCGCCACCCACTTTCGCCGCCCACTTTCGCCGCCCACTTTCGCCGCCCACTTTCGCCGCCCACTTTCGCCACTTTCGCGCGTTCGCCGCCCACTTTCGCCGCCCACTTTCGCCGCCCACTTTCGCCGCCCACTTTCGCCGCCCACTTTCGCCGACTTTCGCCGCCCACTTTCGCCGCCCACTTTCGCCGCCCACTTTCGCCGCCCACTTTCGCCGCCCACTTTCGCCGCCCACTTTCGCCGCCCACTTTCGCCGACCACTTTCGCCGCCCACTTTCGCCGCCCACATTCGCCGCCCATTTTCGCCGCCCATGGTTTAACACTACGCATTAGCGTTCGCGGGGTTTGCCGCGGTGCCAATCGGGGCCCGCTCGCGCAGGCTTGCGCCGGGCTCGCTGCATCGTTCGTCGTGGTATCGCTCGGGCTGGCCAATGCGTTGTGCTGCTCGTTAAGTTTAATGGGCGGCGAAAGTGGGCGGCGAAAGTGGGCGGCGAAAGTGGGCTTGTTCCTTGTATGAATAAGCCGGGCCCTGTCGTGTTTCAGTTTTCTCTTGTCGTGTCTCAATTTCCCTAGCCGCGAGAACGCCCGAGCTTTCCCCCCCGCCCCCCTCCCCTCCCCCTCCCCCCCCCTCCTCCCCGAGCCGAATACTTAAAGCCCATGTTTGAACTCGATGAGATGATGAGAGATATGACAGCCCACGTTGGATCTCGATTGGATTTAAACAGCCCATATTAGTACTCAATTTGAGCTCTAACAGCCCATGTTGGAACCGGGTTGACTTCTAACGGCCCATATTCGAACTCGATCGAGTTCTGACAGCCCACGCAAGAACTCGAATGAGTTGTAGCAGGCAGTGCTACAACTCGATTTGTGTTCTAACAGCCCATGTGAGAACGCAACTGAATTCTAGCAGCTCGTGTTAGCACCCAATTTGAACTCTAACAGCCCATGCTAGAAGTCGATTGGGCTCTAACTGCCCATGTTAAAACTCGTCTTGAGTTCGAACATCCCCTGTTAGAACTCGAACCAGGGCGCCGGTGGATTGTCTGACCTCGCGCGACAAGTGGCCGCCCCTGGCCTTGCCCTTGACGCGATTGCTGTCTATGCGAGGGGTGTTGTCGCAGCCTGGGTGCCGGGGCACCGCGGCGCGGCGCGGTTACTTAAACTGATGCAGCCGTATTGCTGGGGCATTGTGCTTCAACGGGCGCGTCGACA